AACTCTGTGCAAATTTCTCATCTCTCTCTGGGTTGAGTTTGAGGTCTTAAGCTTCTAGTCCTCTGGAGTCATAGTAAAGTCTGTTTTCTATACATGAATTCCTTAAAGATTTGTCCTATCACAGTGTCACCTCCTCCTCCTCCTCCCTTCCTCCACTGCTAAGTGCTATGGTTTGGACATGGTTTGAGTGTGTCACTCAAAGGTTCATGTGTTAGGCTGGGGATGTGGCTCAAGCGGTGGCGAGCTCGCCTGGCATTCGCAGAGCGCTGGGTTCGATCCTCAGTACCACATAAAAAATAAAGATGTGTCCACCGAAAACTAAAATGTCACAGGGCACAGTCCCCACGACTAAATCTTGGTGGCTTATTCTATAAGAGGGAGAGAAACCAAAAGTGACACGTATGTGCTCTTCTCATCTCTTGCCATGCAATTCCCAGCTACCTCAGAACTTGGACTGTAAGAAGGCCATCACCAGATGTGCGTCCTTGAGCCTCCAGAACCAGGAGCTAAATAAACCTTTATAATATTATCCATTTTCGGGTGTGTTGTTGATAGTTAAAACAAAACCCCCACAGACTTATACACTTATCTCAGTAATCTTAGATTTTTCCAATGTTTCCCATGGACTCAGCTTCTAACCCACCAACCCTTCTTGTCACACTTCAACTGACACAACCTAGTTTATCCTTGTCCCACAGAACATATTGAGTCTGAAGTAGAATATAGCATTGCATACTACTCGTTCCAACTAAAAAGGGACTGTGGATTCCTCTCCACGACCTGGACACTAACTTACCCACATTTCTACCCCAAACTGTACTCGAGATTGAGCAGCTAAACAGGTATTTCCTATAAATATAGGAAAACTCTATAATGATTACATCATCTTTCTTTTCTCCCAATCCTGTTTTCTGGAGTTTGATTCCCTGCTTTCCTTCTGAGATGGAACTGGAAGCTGTGAAGTGATTTGTTAATGGAAACAAATGAAGCTTCAGACTGTCCTCTGGTTAAAATTCCAACTGATGAGAAATGTTCCAGACCAATAGTTCTCACATCTTGTGGGATAAAGGCCTCTAACTGATCAACTCTGGATTGTACCAATGTTAATTTAAGTAAGAGTATTAACAGGAGCTATCACTATGGGCGGGGACAGGGTGCAGGGTACAGAGGAATTCTCTCTGCCTTTTTCCCCCCCAATTTCCTGTGAATCTAATTATTTCAAAATGAAAACTCAGAATCAAAGATGACAAACTCCTCTGCTGACATCTAGCAGCCTATACTCATCCAACTAAGTCAATACTTTTATGACTTGGCCCCTTAAGCAACGAGAAATAACACCAGGCAGGATGTAAACCCCATAGCCAATGGAGAAGCCTGACATCTTCAGGAAGGAGCCCTAGGTCAGCAACCACTAGGTCAGCCACTGACCATTCACCTGCAGAAAGTCTGGCCTTGCGCATGCTAGACAAGCCCTTGTGGTAACCATTTTTAAGTATGCAATTCATCAGCATTAAGTAATTCCTATTGTTGTACAACCACACAGTATCCACTTCTAGAACATTTTCATCTTTCCAAACTAAAATTGCGTCCCCAAATACTAACTTCCCATTTTCCCCACAACCCAAGCCACCATTCTACCTTCTCCCTCTTCAAATTCACCCATTCCTAGTCCTCCAGCGTTTTTTTTTAATTCTTGAAACCGCCAACATCAAAAAAGGCCTTATGACTGCACATAAATGCAGACTTAGTCTTTCACTGAGGAATTAACACCAGGCCCAAATCCCTCCAGCCAGGAAATGGTTACTCCTGCATGTGTGCACACACACACACAAATACACCCTGAGGTGGTGTTTGCTTTGGCAACCCCTATCCTAAGAACAGGTGAGCTAGAAAGAAAGAGCCAAAGGCAGGAGTGGGAGGGGGGTTGGGTTCTGTGACTCAAGCAAATGGTGCCACTAACAGGACAGGAAATCCTGGAGTGAAATGTTTCATCCTTCCTCTATTCCAGCAGAGTGTGGGGGAGGGGGACCCCAATGCTATGCTGGATCACACCAATACCACCTACTGCACCCTAGAGGTTTAGTCTCTAGCTGAAGAAACATAAGCTGCCACTTGGACGCTGGGCATCTCCTCCCACAGATGAACTTTCTTCCTACCCTATTCCCCAACATGGACAACAATCCTGCAGCTATCTGCCAACAAACGACACAGGATGGCACAGATAAGGAAAATTCCAAGAATTCATAAGAACCCCATAAATGCAAATCACCAAGAGTGTGATCTGACCTTCATGGGGCACTGTCTCTCAAAATGTCAAAGTTCTATATCAGCTCCTGGGACAGAACCCAGGACCTCACACATGCTAGGCAAGCACTCTACCACAGAGCTATACCCCGGCCCCGACGCTGATGCTGATTCATTATGCCCCAGATTTTATCCAAAACAATGGAGCAAACTCACGCTAGGAAGAACATTTG